CTCTCCGGGACTGATAACCTGGGGAGAAGTGAGATGGACGTCTTTGTCCCCACCCGGGGTCTCTCTCAGGCGCGTGCAGACAAGCTCGCCTCTGGTCTGTCTCCCGGACACTCCGCTGCCTCTTCCCCGAATAGGTTTGGGAGAGGCTATCACCGGTGAGTGCGGGCGCAGGCTTCGTCTCTCTGAGAGCAGCAGCTCCCTCTTTTGTTCCCGCAGACCATGCCCTGCTCCAGGGGGACCGCAAGAGAAGTCCCCGCTCTCCAAGCCTCCGGCAGCGAGCGCGCCGGCGGAGGTATCGGACTCCCTCTTCCCTCAGGCCCAGGCTGCGACCCCTCGCCAGGGCGTTCCGGGTCCGCAGGGGCCCACGCCCCTCAACCGGAGGCGGACGAGGTCAAGGCCATCTGTCCACTTGTGGGGCTGCTCGCTGCCTCCCGCCCCACTCCTGGCCCCTCCGCCTTCCCCGCGTCCTCGGCCGGTGCAGGGAGCATCCCGAGGCTCCAGGTGGCCAGGGCGGGGGACGATCGGAGCCGGGCACCTTTCTGGGGGTGTCCTGAGTCAGCGCCTAGAGGACGCGCTCCCTGGCAAAGGGTGTCAGGGCGAGCGTGCGGGTCTTTGTGTGTTTCCTACTCTCCTTGAAAATAAAACCGACCCAGAGGATGAAGAATGCGCTCACTCACCATGGCGGTGCCGACCGAAAAAGCGGCCATCAGACAGGCCATGCCCCGGGGGCGGCGGCGGCGGCGGCGGCGGCGGCGGGAGGGGGGAACGAGGCTGCGGGCTGCGGGGACGAGGCTGCGGGGACGAGGCTGAGCTCGCTCTGGATTTCGCCGCTGCGCCGGGTGCGGGTTGCGCCCGGGCTCGGGCTGGGGCTCCGGCTCCGGCGCGCCCGGCCCCGCCCCACGCGCGCGATTGGTCGAAGCGGAGAGGGCGGTCCGGCCGGCAGGTGCGCGTGCTCTTGTTTTGCTCCTGCGGTGGGCTGCAGGCCCGGCCCCCCGACGTGCGGGTTCCCTGAGCAGTCAGGCCCAGACGGATCACTGCGCGACCCAGCCACCCTGGACGCCGTGGGACACCCTCCCGCACACACACACCCAGCTCGGATCCCCCGGGTCCCGAGTTCGCGGAGGCCAGGTCAGCACTGGCCTGGGCGAGCCTGCGGGGCGACCGACAGACGTCCGGGGTTCCTGACTCCGAAATCCGCTGCCTCCAAGCCAGCGAGTGGCGGTGCTGGTGTAGCCAGAGGGGCAGACCAGGGAGGGAGGCGAGGAGCATGGGGCTCTCTTTTCTCTCCTCCCTCTTTGCCTCCCGCCCTGTATCCCTCCCTTCCTTCTTTCCTTCCTTCTTTTTTCTTTCCCTCCTCCCCTCCCTCCCTCCCTCCGTCCCTCCTTCCCTCCTTCCTTCCTTCCGACCTTCTGTCCTTCGTCCTTCCTTCCTTTTCCCCGTTTTTGGGCACCTTTCTGTCAGGTAGGAGCTTGAGGACTAAAAAAGAGATGTATAGGGGCAGCTGGAAATACTCTAACCACTGCAGTCAGCATCCATGTGGGGTGACCCCTCCCAATGAGGCCGCGCATGCACTCACACATGCAGTGTTGTTGTGTGTCAGCACAGAGCTAAGTGCTGGGTAACACAGGGGTTCTAGGTGAAGGTACCCTGATGTCCGTCCTCTCCCTACCCCCACACACAAAAGATAAGGTTCATTTTCACAGACAGAGCTGTTCCCAGGGCCTGGTCCAGATCCTGGCCATAGCTGTGTTTGGGGAACTGCATAAAGAATGACACAGGGCACCCTCTCATTCCCTGGAATATCAGATGGGCTAACCTCTGCAAAAGCCCTTATTATATATAAGTGGGGCCATTTCCTGGTAACCATGGTGACAAAGCATTCTTTAGTCCAGACCTCAGGCCCTAATGCTTTGTTCAGTTGTTTGCATTTTGGGACCACAAGCAGGAATGCATTTCCTTCCACCTCCAGCAGACCCAGGTCACCCCTCCCCAGCTCACCTCCTATAAGCGCCGCTCTGTCCTTCTCCTCTTCTAGAAAGGAGGCACAGGTTTTTATGCCAGGCAGTGGATTCCACACCCACAGGTCAGATGACCATAACCAGATCCTTGAGTCAAAGGAGGGAGAGGAGGTGCAGTTATGAGTTCAAGGGGAGAGGGCCCTGCTTGGATCCAATAGTTTTTCTTCAGGAGTCTATATAGTACCTCTGTTTTAATCTTGGCTGAGATGAAGGAAATCTGACTGCTGTATTTCCAGGTATCACTATGTAGGTGTCAGACCCAGGAGGCCATGTGGTCCCTTAAATGTACTGAGCAGGGAGGCCTGCAAAACTTGAGTGTTCTGAAAAGAGGATTCAAATCCACAAACTTCTCAGGGAGAGTTCAGGCCAAAGGTAGACGAGAAAGGTGGCTCATATCTGGGGATGCAGACTGGTGCCCAGCCCTGGGGCCCGCCTTGCTCCAGGGGCAGACAGACCTAAAGCAGGAGAGGAAGCAGGGAACACAGCTGAGGGGGGAGTCACCTCATGGCCAAGACACATGGCACGACACCTGGATGCCTGTAGTGATGACATCTATCTTCTGTCCAATATCCATCCTCTTCACTTCTAGGAATGGGTCCAGAATTTCCTTCTAGACATTCCTTCTCTCTCTCCCTCCTTCCAGTTCCCTGCCCTGTGATATGTGTGGGATTGACCAGTCTTCATTTTGAGCAGGCCCACCGTGGCTGGTCAGGAATCCGAGATGTGATGCAGGGCTCGCAATGCTCGCAGGGTCAGTGTGTGGAGCCTGAGAAGGATGCCAGAGAGGGTAGGCACTATACTGGGTGCTTGTTGACATGGCTTGAACTGCTGGATTTTCTGTTACAGGCCACTGAAAAAGTCCTCACTTGCCCATCTATACATTGGTGTCATAATCTCCACCACGTAGGAAGTAATGCATGACAACACAGTCCACCATCCAAAGCACAAAGCAAGCATCCAGCTCTTGTTCTTACTGTGCCATCCTCCCTCCATGCCTGGTCCGGGAAGGAGTCTGTGGTGGAATAGCCCAGATCTGTGCCATTTTTATCAGAACTCTTGGTTGTAAGTAACAAGAACCTACCTCCAACTGGCTGAAGCTAAGGGAAATAAATTGTCTTGGGTGCAGAAAGGTCCACAGTGTGCTGGTTTCATGCCGGCTGGGGCCAAGAAACCCTACTGTGCCCTCAGCTACTTGTCTCCTGCTTTCTGCAGGCTGTGCCTTCCCTAGGTGGCCTGCCCGAGGGCGGGCTTTCTGCACATGGCCCTCTTGCCCCTCCCCTCAAGCTTGCATCCTGTTAGCTGGATGGGACAGATGGGACAAAATGGGAAGGTTAGCCCCAGAGGATCCACGCCGAAGGGACAGGCATGGATACTTCTCCAAGGCCATTTGAGGTGTTCTGAGCAGAAACGTGGGGGCCAGAAGGAACTCGCCACAGAATCATCCAGTCCAGACCCGACCTCAATAGGAATTTCTGCTAAGATACCTCTGACAGGTGGGTCAGGTTGGACTTGGGAATTTACAGTGGGAAAGCACTTCCTGCCTCAACAGTAAAACCTTCCATTATTCAGTGTTGTCACAGTTAGCAAGCTGTCTCTGTGTCTGATCTGATGCCCTGTCACCCTGACTGCTCGGTATCCCTCAGTGACATGGAGTGGATACGCTTCTCTCCCCACAGCAGGCCCTGGTTAGTCACTAATGTCACCAACATTCTCTCCAGGCCTTCGCTTCTCCGGACCAAGCACCCCAGGCCCTCCAACATGGTTGCATGGAGATGCCCTTTCATCCAGCCTACTCTTTCACTGGACGAACGCTGCTTTCTTAGGGTCCCTCATGGAATTTGGGGCTCACCACAGAATTACCCCATTCATGTGTGTTCCATCAGGACAGAACAAGCCAGGATAATCTACTCCTTCCCTCTGGACCATCTGCTTCTATTAGATGGTCAAGTTGGCCCTGACTTGCAGGTCATGGCATTGTCCAGTCAACTCTAAGTGGAGCTTCGGCTGATTAAGAGTCTAGGTTCATGTGAGGAGTGCTGCCATTCCATCTGGCCTCCCTGATCGCAGCCCAGTTTAAAAGTGTCCAATTTATCTCTGCTGGACTTTCAGTCACTAAAAATGTGGGAGAGAGGGGGCAGACACCCTAGTCTCTGGTGTATCCTGCACCTTGTGCCAGGAGAGGTGGGTGCAAGTGCGTGGTACATCGAGGTGAGCCTGTGGTGGGGCTGCCTGTTGACACTGGTGAGCATCCCCAGCCAGCTGGTCCAACAAGATGAGGCTGCCTTGGCATCTTGGATTGCCCGATCCTCCACAGGCCCCAACTCCAAAGAAACCTTTAGGGACACCCCATGGCTTCCCAGTCTACCCCTCCCAGTCAACTAAGAATTCCAATGAATTTGTGCCTCCTTAACACAGTCTTCCTATATTTGGCTTTCACCAATTTCACCTGGAGTCTGGTTGGATGATAGAATGACCTGCCTGGAATTAATCCAAGTGAGCTCCACTCAGCCCACTTCTTTCTATCCACTACAGAGCTACACCAGCCTGAACTTCCTTTCTAAGACCTGAGATTCAGCCTCATACTCAGCATTCAGAGATCCCCTACCCCATGCCAGGAGCACTTCTGGGTGCTGGGAACACAGGGGTGGACAAAATGGAGAAAGCTTTGCCCTTGAGTATGGTCAGATAGTGACAGAAGGAGGTGAAAGCCAAAAAGCTCTTATCCAGATGAGGCATGTTTTAACGTGTTGCCTGAGTCTGACATGCTCTAGAGCTCATTCTTGGCTTGGGTGGGGAGTTCTTGCTGTATAGTTGGGGACGGGCCAAACAGGAGCCAACTGGGGACACGGGTCTCCTGCCCTCAGTACTCCTACTCTTTTGGGATCAACCTTTCAGGGGTCCTACCCTAGGGACTTGATCTCTGCCATTGTGCTCTCCAAACTGCTTTACCCCATGCTATGTCTCTGATAGTCTGTGCAGGGTGCAGTGTCCTGTTGATGGAGCTAGTGCCCAGCTCTGCCTTCTGGAATATCCACTCCACATGGGCAGGAATATTTATTCACCCATGAATCCCAGCCCCAGAGGCAGCTCCTGGGGATGGAGTTTATCCAGATTCCTCACCTACTGAGCCTGGATCCCAGAGCTCTGGTTCCCCTGCAGATCCCTCTGGTTCCCCCCCACCCAGGCCATTGCTATCCTGCATACAGCCTGCCAGTGTGGACATGTGCCCACCCCGCCTGCCATGCCCTCAGGATTCCTTAGTTGTCCCAGAACATCTTATCCACTTGACATCTCTCCATTTCATGGGGGAAAACAAAAAAGCTGAAGAAGGCTGGTCCCTATGCCCCTGTTCCCAGCTCCTCTCCCACCAGTCCATCACTGCCTGGTGGCAATGTGACCTATAACTGTTTATGAGACTTCTTTCCCCAAAGCCTGGAAACCAGATGGAGAAGAGGGAGCATGGTACAGAGAGGTGTTTGTCTATCTGCTTGCTTGCTTTTTTACAACCCCAAACTCTGACTCTGATGGTGAAAGTTTCCACCCAATTAGGAGCAGAATATGGTGGCACAATGGTCAGTGGGACAGAGGAACCTGTCGATTATCCTGGCTGACAGTGGTGAAGAAACCAAAGGAGGGGGACAGTGATGAACACTGTCCCTGCTACATCCCAGGCCCAGGACAACACAACAGGTGCTTATTCCTAGGGGGCATCCCTGTGGGTGAACTTGCCTTGGACTGGGCCTGTAGACTTGTCTTCTGGTCATCACCTGCCCTTGTTGGCTTTTCTGACCAAGGGAGGGAGTACGTGTTGGATCTTAATCTGTTTGGTCTGCT